CTTTTAGGGAGGTCTTGGGGCATTGGCTTTTCAACAGGTTGTGCAGATTCCTAAGGAACCGGGTGAATCTGTAGACCTAACAAAAGAAGTCCATTCTTTTCGCTGACTTGGCTGACTTGATTCAACCAACGTCCTGCAATTTTCGCTGCAACCAACTGACTTAGATCAGCATAACATGCCTCTTCTCTCTTCAGGCATTCTGTTTGCGAGTCTTGGAATCTGGATGAACATGCCTTTCTGGTCTTGATTGACCCTCAGACATACACCTTTTCAGCGGAGCCGAATGATAAGAGCCGAACCCTTCGAATGGCCTGACCAGCGAACAAGCACACTGAAATACCCTATATACGCCCACATTCCTACATCATGATCATCATGATATTTGGCAATCCATATAAGTAAGAATACCCATGCAAATTAGATGTTCTAATAGCAGAACGATTCCCAAGTTTGAACAGTGACATGACATGATATGCAGGTCACCTCTTGGAGCAAATCCACAGAGGGCCGATTTGGCGACTTTTCACCATTTGTCGTCAATGTGAATAAGAAAAAATGGGGAGAGTTACTGGGAGTTCTCGAGTCGCGCACCCCAAGACCTCGGGGATTAGTGCCGATTGCTGAGGGCAGCTGGCTCCAAAGACGAAGAAGTTCTCTGTGCCAGTAAAATTGTTGGGGACACTCACCAGTAAAATCTGAGCCCAAATATCCACATTGTACCACTGCAAGAATTTGGAGAATGGAGAAGATTTCTTAAGGGTGCGGTAATATTCCCGGTCTTGATGGGTATACATGGTATACTGTCTCTCTCAGTGAATTCCACGTGTTTTTGGTTCAAAATGGCACTTTTGCCGAGATATGTTCATTGTCCACGTCCAAGGCATGCAGTGCTTCGTCTTTCGTCATGGACACAGCCAAGCTGGATCAAGAGTTCTGTACAAATGAATTATTGGGAACTTCAATGGCCCGAAACTCGCAGTATTGCCTGCAAGAATTGGATGGCAATCCAACTTGGCAACTGATCAAACACCATGAGTTCCCAGGGTGAGTTCATCCAGGTTGATAGTGACTTGAAAGCATGCAATACTTGGTTGCATCGCTACCCATGGCGCTGTTGGATTCCATCTGGCACATGGCAAGACTGTGAGCTTCAAGGGGCGGTTCCGGATCAGCATTGGCGTAAGGTTTTTGAAGGGTGTTTGGTGCAGCTGAACCGATTGGGAAGTTGGAACTTGAATGACTTAGATGTTATGATGTTTAAGCAGTATTTAAGCAGTTGAATCCCAATTTCCATTGGCTTCATCACCAGGTTCAACTGGTCAGCTGCACCCTGTGCGCGCAGCGTTTGCCTGCGACAGCACTGAGGATTGGCACCGTGACTCGGCGCAGCGACAGAACCAGAGAGGTCTGTCGGACAAGATTGGACCTTCCACAAGGTGGCACTGAGTGGTAGCATCACCAGGACCTTCCACAAACGGATCGTGGATCTCGATCGGGTCGCGGTTGAATGACATGTCAACGCAGTTGAATGACTCATTACAAAACAGCAACCAGAAAATATGATGCAAACCCAACGAGGAATAAAGAAAAACAGAGTGATATCTGGCTGCCAAAAGTGGGGAACTGCCTGAGAACTGCCAAAATAGCCGTTCTCTCTTTCAGAAACGACGTGTTTCGGCAAATGGATGACATGCCCGTGGAATCTTTTGACCAAACAATCTTAAGAATTTACAGGGAAACCGTGGGAAAAAAAAAAACACCATCCACTGTCGTCCACCTAGGACTTCTTAAACAGTTGTGGCGCCCCGTCAAATACGAGCTTAACCAACTGTCAAGTCTATAAAAGTACATGTAGCTAATGAGCACAAACAGTTAAGCCACTTGGTTAAAAGGAGATAAACGCATTTCTGTATGGAAGATCTATGGATTGTAATCATTGTAATCAAAGATTTCATTCCATTTCCCATTGCTGTCACTCCTCGAATCACTGGACCACCATGGGGGCACAGCGTGAACGCCGTGGCTGGAACGTGCGAAGGGCTCTTGGGACACCGTGCACCAGTACCAAAAAAGTGATGAGTTGGGTACGGGAACTGCCATAGGATCCATTAGGTACCCTCAAAATTGATACTTTGGAGTTTTGAAGGAACTTGTTTTCTTCGACAGTGGAATGCTTTCTTTCAGATCTGCTTTGGTGGTACAGGAGCCCTTGCAATTCTACAACAAATCGATTTCAGTCGTTTCCACTCCACACAGCTCAAATTTCTACAACCTTCCCATCCAAAATGGGTAGGAAATTGTTTGGGGAATTGTTTTTTTAGTTTGGGGAATTTTTTTTGGATTTCCGGTTCTCACCATTTTCCATGCTATTTGCAGCATTTTGGAGCTGGAAA